TTCTGGTGGCAGTGACGTTGTTTTTTTTTTCCTCTATTCAGGCAATGTTTTGTAAATGCTTTGGTAGGGCATGAGATTTTCTTCCATTTATCTTTTACAGTAGTATTTCTGAAGAAATATCTAGTCTACTTTAAAGAAAGTTATTTATTCTTATGAAAATGAGTAAGACTATAGGGGTAAAAATAATTGTTTTTGCTTCTCACAAACCCTGCTCAATTGCCTGGTTTTAATCCTCACGTGGAGCTAGGTGTACTAATATCAAAGTCAGAGAGCCAAGGATTTAGCTCAGCTGTAGAAGCGCCTGCCTTGCAAGTGTGCAGTCGTGAGTTCGATCACCAGTTTAAAAAAAAAAAAAAATCAAAGTCATTCATGTAGCATTATCACACACTTGTTACTTAACCTTCTTCTTATGCCATGATAGTAAGATTTTTATTCTAATGTGTTTAAGTGGTAACCTGGGTGGAAATTTGTTTAGTGCATTTTTCTGTTAATTCCATTAAAGGCCTGGTGTTATTCAGATGCTCCTTGCTGCCTCTCCTTCCCACATGTGCTACTTTAGCTAGTTTTATTGCACAGCCTCAGTTAGAGATAGCATTGTCCTCTGCTGCAGGGGACAGTGCTTCTTCTCACGTCAGCAGCTTTGCATATGTTAGGTGGCCAGTGGTTGCCCTCACCTGCAGCACTCAGTTAACCATAATGTTCTTCTTCTGGCCCGTGACTGCCTTAGTCCGTGCTTGGTACCCACTGTCAGATGTCCATTTTTATGGGAGCCAAAGTCTTTTAGTTATTTTTGTTGCTTGCCAACCCTCTTTCCACGTTTATTCCCAAATCTTTTCCTTTGGGGACTCGATTGTCCAGCATTAAGTGCAGTGGAGCACAGTGGTGACTCATTTATTTGACACCTTATGGAAGTAGCACTTCTTGCTGACTTCCGCTTAAGACCCACAGCTTATGAGTAAGCAGACACTCTCTGTCTTGTGTCAGAGTAATTAATTACGCCTCCTTTAGTATTTTACTCAGTGCTTAGACCTGTAAACTGTAATAGGACGTATTTCTAGCTTTTGTCCAATGTGTCACTTTCATTCTGAACTCTGATATCTTACTGCATAAATATGTTGCCAGGCCGTGCATGTCTACTTGCCTCTAGGAATGGGATGAGTGGTGTTGGTGGGACTTGATGAGCAGACCCTCGGTGGTGAGTTAGATAGACGCTCTGCGCCCGGGCCGTTCACACCCCTCACCTGACAGGTAGCAGCCACTGGCTGGTCTGCACAGCTGCACTCTCATCTAGCAGGCGTAAAGCTTACAGTGCTATTTCCCGTGGTGTTTGGTAACATTTGGGACCTTCCATTCCACTGAATGTTAAATTTTTGAGTTAGATGTAGAAGGCATAAGAGCTGTAAATATGAACCAGTTTCTAGAACTAGTGAAACAATAAATTTGAGTTTAATAGGAAGAATCCATTACCATGTTGCCTCACTGCCAGGCATGTATTTTCAGCTGCGGCCCAGCACTGAAAGTATTAATGAATTCTAACAGCAAGGCAGCATGCACTCCCGCAGGGTTTTAATTGGCAGAGAGGTACAAAACAAACAAGGAGACTGGGTGCCCTCCGGGAGCCGGCATGTAGCAGAAGTGTGCCCGGCAGTGTGACTGTGCAGCTGAGCTGACGCAGTGCCCTTCAAGGGGCCACCAGGCTCTGAGGACCTGCTGCCTCTGCGGGCAGGTGCAATTATATATTCATGTGCGGTTTTCAGCAAGCAGGTATTCAGCTCCCCTGCCCCAAAAAAGAGAAATCTGCAAGCCAGAGGCTCAGAAGCTCTGTTCACCAAAAGGACAATAATCCCAACTTCCAAAGTGGACAATGTAACTTGCTGGGAATTGATGCAACAAAAATACCCAGAGGAAAGATCATTAATGTCTCCTGAAAGCTAGTCACTGTGTGCACCAGTCTCGTGGAAGCATCTTATTCAGCCTTCACAACGACCCTAACATAGACAGGGAGGATTCAAATCCAGGTCTTGCTCAAAAGCCTGTGTACTTAATGTGTGCTACACTGCTCCTCTAAAGAATGGAAGTGACACCACATTGAAGATTTATGAGTCATAACGATAGGTGATCTAAAGCCATGGGGAAAGATGATTTGATTTACAAAAATGTGTTTTTTTAAAAAAATTAAGAACTTATCTGTGAAATAAAGTTGAATGATTTAAACCAGACAGGGTCCTGAGTACATGCAGTGAAGTGGCTGCAGCTTCCAGGAGGGGCCCTTGATCCCCAACAAAAGCTATTCAAGATCCTCAGAAAACGTAAACGGAGCAGTGCGGAGGAGCGCTCTTCACTCTTCTGAGTGAGATCATGTGTTTACCCACAGAAGATTGAAGTAATTTAATTCTTCTTTTGCATCTCTGTGCTAGCTAAGGACAGTCATTTCACTTGTACATGTATATAAATTAGATGAATTCTTCTGTATTACCCTTCATCTCTGTTTGGGCTTCAGTATACATTCTTTTCATACAAGTTTTCTTAATAAGAGTTTGGAAAACATTCCAGCCCACATAAATGAATGCTTAAGCAACCAATCTCCAGTGCTGCCTCTCTTATAACTGCAAATCCTAAAGAACATTTTGATCATTGTTTCCTGGAAATTATTAATTGAGAATATTCAGGGAACAAACATAAATACAAGTTTCTGGAGGAGTTTTCCGTATTCCTTTTTGCCAGCATATCTTACCTAAAACAATGTGATCATCTATTTGTAGAACTCTGGGGAGGTTGAACGGGATTAATTCCCATGCCCGTGTTGCAGTGTAAACAGCTTTTTGCCTGCCTTTTGTCATTAATGATCATGCTGTAGATGTAGCCAGTGCATTGTAAGCCAATCTGTCAAGGCAAATAAACAATTCACCTTGTTAAAATTCCCTAAATCTTGCATTAATAAAACCAAAGTAACTCCCTGAACACTCAAGAGATGTCTTCCTCCATACTGCAGTGATGGATGACATGTCTAAAGATCCTGGAAATTAAGTAGTTCGGGTCATTAAAAGTGTCCCACACTTGTTATTGATTTAATTTATTTTAAAAAGGTGGGGGTAGAGATAAGAATGTTGCACCGTTCCCCATTTTGTTTTTAAATCTGAAGGTCCCCTCTTTTATAGATAAAACTGTTGCCTGGTTGAACAGCTCCAAAATACATTCAAGTTATTTGTTTGTTTGTTCAATTCAAATACGTATTGTATCCTCTTAAGCAGATATCTAGGAACATCTTGAAGTTTTATATGTGTCATGATTCTTAGAACTTTTGTGTTCTAGACATTAAAATAATTACCCCCAAAAAACTCCCTTGGGTGAGTAAAATTTAAATGGAGACAAAATGATTTAGGGGAAACTAACAGAAATAGTAACAAAATTGTGTTTCTGGGCACAAGGGTTTTACTGAACTTTTTCATTTTTCTATTTTTATAACTAGTATAAATACTACATACAAGTTGATGGATGGATGAGAAAATATTCAGAGCGTGGTGTAGAATTTTGGTTCTATGTCACCATCCCCTGAGTGGAGCTTGAGTTGTTGTATGTGTGTGTGTGTGTGTGTGTGTGTGTGTGTGTTTATCAGCAGGCTTCCCACCAGCCCAGCTCTCCTGGACCTGCAGTGTCCACTGCCCGTCCCAGTGCCTAACAAATGTGCAGTAAACACCACACGAGTGTACGAGTGCACCGACCACCATTGTGTCTTCTGTTCTGCCTACATGCCTGGCAATGCAGCAGGCCGTGTGAGGACAGCCGTGGACCCGGAGCAGCCAGAGCGGTGGTGGACACTGGTGCCGCACAGCTCGGCCGCACAGGCAGAACCATGTCACACACGTTCCTCACACCGTGTGTGTGTCCTGGACTGCTAACAAAATCTTACAGAACCTTACAATGAATATGTAAATTATGCACAAAACAAGATACTTTGTAGACTTACATACCCACAGTTTGACCTGACTTTTGTCATTTGTTCCATTATCTTCTATATCAGCTTATGTGGCTGTTCCTGACTGGCTGCGTGGATGGCATTTCCCCATAAATTCCCATTGTTCTTTAAACATGTACTTATAGGGGTCAGGGGGACTTGCCCTTGGTAAGTTATAAAAAAAGTGCCCCTAAGAATAGTTGGACTAATTTTAGAGGTTGTTATAGTCTTCAGTGCTTTCTTCTTCATGGCCTTTGGGGTACCTAGGAAGGAAATAGGAGAGGGGTAGTAACACATAACAGGTCAGACACTGGCAGGTTCTTTAAAAACGTAGATATAAAAATGCACTCTGTAGCTCTCCATTAGATTTCTGCTTGAAATTGCGTAATTTGGATTTCCGAGTACTGACATGGTTATCCCATTATGCCAGCTATTTAGCAGAGTTCTTTAAATGAAAGAACCCATAGATTTTTTCAATGCATGCCAATTTACACTTAGCAGTAAGGTTGTTACTGACCCTTTAAGAGGTGATGTCCAAATGGCAGTAAATGTCAGTTGATCCTAATACTTAAATAGGCGACAGCTGAGGGGTTTGACCAACGCTTAGCAAAACTACTTACAGTATTTCAACGGTCATCAGCTCTTGTGGAATATATTCATGTCTATCAGACCACTTTATTATGAAGAAAAATCTGATTTACAGATCTCAGCAAATAAAATTGATGTATTCAGGCTTTGAAATATTCTGGGTTAGAATCTCCATGAAGGCAAGGACCAGGCCTGCTGCTTCCCCACTGCCTCCTCCTTCCCTCTGTGTCCAAAGCAGAGGAAGAGCTCCATAAGTGCTGGTGGAATGAAGGGGTAGATACCATGCAGCATGTGTGTCAGCCTGAATTCTCAGTGGGTAACTGGGGACCCCTCCTCATATTGATCGGGAGGAGTGTTGCTGGTGAGGATTTTGATGGACAGTTTTTTATATAGTTCCTTTGATTGATTGCCTGGCACACTTCACTTCAGTTTCTAATTTTGTTTTTTGCTTTCACAGTCTGTCATTTTAGAAAATGAAGAACTTCCAAAACTGTTCCTTGATTTCCTAAATGTGCGACACTTGCCCTCTCTACCAAAGGCAGAAAGTTGTGGGTAAGAATTGTTGTCTATGTAGTAGATGTGATTTTAAGTTAATTTCCAATAACCAATTTGTCTAAAAAACATACCCCAGTGATCTGAGTGTGGTGGCTCATGCCTGTAATCGCAGCACTTGGGAGGCTGAGGCAGGAGGATCATCGCAAATTCAAGACCTGCCTGGGCGACAAAGTGAGCTCAAGGCTGGCCTAAACTGCATAGCAAGACCTTGTCTCAAAAAGACAAAAGTGAGAGGAGCCCGCTCACCTCCCGGGTAAGCAGCCGTGGCTCGAGCCAGCGATGAGTGACCCAGGGAGAGAACCAGGCAGCAAGTGTCTCCCAAGATCTGCACCATATTGGAACTTAGGCCGCTGGGCAACAAAGCAACCTGCTCACTTCACCGGTAGGCAGCTGTGAGCTTGCCGCAAAATCAAACACACACACACACACCCTGCCCCATTAACAAATGGGAGCCAGAGGCCTGAGCATCTCTTGGGAGGATGACCATATGCAGTATAACAAATATGGGGGAGTTCCTTCTACTCTCTCTTTGAAGGCAAATATTGTTATCACTGTTTTGCTTTGTTTTGATTAACTGTACTGCTCTATGCAGTACTCCGTTTTGATAGGTTTTATGATGTTCTGTATTTGGTTTGATTTTGCTATACCTGATTGACTGGACAACTATTGAGAAGATAACGAGCTATCCTGTGGTACCTATTACTGTTACCCAGCAACCTGCAGTGAAGTTCTGTATCAATTTCACTGCATTGTCTTGATTGGCTTCATTCTATCTTGTTCTGCTGTAGTTTACTACCTTCAAAATAAAAATATATACATATCAAATTGAAAAAAAAAGACAAAAGCAAAAAAAACAAAAACAAAAACAGTGATGCCATAAGAGCTGGGCCAGCCACACCCAGTCTTTTGGTTGAACCAGCACTGGCTCACTCCCTGCTTGTCGTCCGAAGAATCCTCTCAAGTCCTCATCATGTCTTGCGGCCAAAAGGCCAACACTCAGTAATTCATGTTTTGACACAAGGAAATAACCTTTTAAGTAAAGCTGTTGAATAAGTGAAGTCACATGATGGTAATGCTGAATCCCAGTATCCTGCTTGGGGATATTTATTTGTTTGTGGATCCCTGAGCCAGGTCCGTATCCCCTTGGTGTATCTGTAAAGCTGTAAATGACCTCAGAGATGAATTTATCAAACTCCCCTTGTTTAATAGCTGACTAAACAGAGATACAGGAATTCAGTGCTCTTCCCTGTGTCTTCCACCTCACAGCTGGCAGAGCCCAGGCCCTCCAGTGCCAGCCTTTGTTCCCTACCGTCCAGCGGCTGCAGGACCTAACGACTGGGCTGAGACCCTTCTCCCTGTCCGCTCAGGAGCCAGAGATCTGATAGCACCATGGTGGGAAAAGTAGGCCCTTGTCCAGCTAGGAGTGCGCCCCTTGGGCTCTGCCGGTGCCTGCAGCAGTGAGCAGCACCCTGAAGAGTAACTCCACTCACAGAGCCCAGCAGGAAACGGGTTTTGCCCGCTCTTTTCCATGCCTCTGGCCCCTCAAGGAGGAACCACACCAACTCCGACACCATCACATTTCACCACGCCCAAGTCTCACTGAGTCCTTGCCGCTCTGGGCTGGTTTCTCGCCAGAACAGTGCCAGGTTCCAGAACCAGAACCACATTCAGCACTCACTGCCAGCGTGCTCAGCTTGAGCCTATGTGAACATATTTACTAGCTGTTAGGCTTATCATATGCAGTTCTGTATTTTAAGAAGAGACATTAGGAGTAACAGTGAGTGATGTCTTTATCCACTGTACAAGCCCCAAAATTGTATTGAAATCTTAGGATTTTACAGTGATCGTGAGGAAAATTGAAATCCAAGAATCTTGCAGGGTTAAGATTCTTTAGGGTGAGTCATCAGCTGTGCAGAGGCTTAGCACAAAGCCGTAACTTTCGTTTTTAGTGTTTCCCAATTCAGTAATGTAAGAACACTGGCTATTTTTCCTTTGTTGGCGTAAACATGGCTTCTACTTATTTGATCTTTTTCTTTTCTTTTACAAAAACTTTAGATCCTTTGATGAGACAGATTCTGAGGAGTCAAGGTAAGAAACAGTATTAGTCAATTAGTCACACAGACCAACAATAGGAATAATACTTTCATTAAATATTTAATTACCCTGATAAAGTGATAAAGTTAAGTTTTCTTGAAGACTTTAGTTGCCAATAGGTTTTAAGGTTATGCATGTTTGACAGGGAGCTGCAGAGTAACCAGTTACAATCAGGAGTGATGGTATAGGAGCCCTATATGGTTTCATATTATAGGAAACCTGTTTTATTTATGAACAAATTACAGAACTTTAAGAACAGACTTTTGGGCCATGTCGTGCTTTACAGGCTTGCATATCTGCCTCCGATTCCAAAGAAACCTTCATACACTGAGTGCAGCGCTGTTGTTTCGCCCACACTGTGAGCTGCACGAGTCTCGAGACAACCCCACATAGCAGTTTGATCCCCTCAAAGCTAGTTTGTAGTGTTTTCTGTTTACCATCGTCCCCTGATGCTGACATGCTTGTTCTTGACCTTTCTAGCAAACTGTCCCACCAGCCGGTGCTGCTGTTCCTCAGGGATCCATACGTCTTGCCTGCAGCCAGCGGTAATCAAACCTGTCATCTGCTAACAGCTCTTTACTGATCTGACCTGCACCACAGAAACCACGTTTTTAATACAGGTCTAACAGAGTGGCATTGGTCCAGGGCTTAATCATCTGCCAATAAACCAGTGCTCTTGGTGCAAGAGACATTTAGAATTTTAATTGGGGCCAGGCTTTCAGCAGGAAATGTAATTTTTCTTTCTCTCTTACCACGCCATTTTGAAATCGAGCAAGAAGGGGTAAGGTGGAAAGGTATTTGTTGTCTTTGGGTTTTTTTGGTGGTGTTGTTTGGGCTGCTGTATGTTTTTATCCAGATGCCAGGCTTCAAATTTAAAGCCCCAGTCCTTTTGAAACACGTGTTTTCTCAAAACATGTTTGCAGTTGTATCTCCGTTTTCATTTAGATTGCAGCATCTTTGATGACTGAATATGCATATATTGTAAGGTTGTAGATCTTAAATACAGTTAATTTATTTAAGTGAACTTAGTATTTTGGCTGTTTCCTTTCTGCATGCTAAGAAATTCAGATCCCCCAGAGTCCCCTTCAGAGCCAGTGCATCCTCGGGCAGGGCCTCAGGTAGTTTTCTTAACAACTCTCTGACACAGACAGGGAGGGTAGAATCATTGGTCAAGTGAGAACACTGGGACTCAGAGCCATGCCTGGCCATGCCTGGTGCCAGGCAGCTGACGGCTGGGCCTCTGCTTGCCTGAGTTTTGTGTTTCTTGCAGCAAGTGAATTTTCCGCCATTGTTCTGAGTCACTAAACAGCATGCCGGCTAGGTGACAGTGGGCGAGTGGTTCCTATAAACCGTGCCTCGTTTCTGACAGTAAATCCCTATCACCAGCAAGAGAAACGGAACTGTTGTCTGCAGCAAAGGTGCTCACCTCAGACTCCTACAGAGCTGCCAGCTGGAAGAAGGGTGGCCAGGGCAGCCCGGCACTGTGGAACGTCCGTCCTAGCACCCTGGTCAGGGACAGTGGCCTTTCTCAAAGAGTGAAGTCTCCATGTTCTTTCTGTGAGACCTTTTTCAGTGATGAATAGTTGTCTTTTGTAAGCTCTTGTTTCTCATGGTATGTGAAAAATACTCTATTTATCAGATACTAATAATTTCATCTAGATTAAGTATGCAGTTCTATAAAATATTATCTTTTAAAAATGGCTCCATAAGTACTTTTTCTAGGTATTATTTATATTCAGACACTGTATGCACTTGACCAAAAAACTCCTGTAGAGATACAGAGAATGGAATAATGATTGTTGACAAGAATCCCCAGGGAAGACACCGTATGACTTTTCACCCTGCTTCATGCAGCTTAATAAGCAAATCCCCCCACCCCAGTGCCACACAACTGGCCTGACAACCAGGAGCAGGAGGAGGCTCGGGAGAAGCAACTCTGTGGAGCCAGGAAGAGCACGAAGTGTGCGTTGCGGATAGCGCGGTAGTGCAGATGAAGCGCTGTAAAATGAAGGGTTTCCTCAGGGAGCGAGGTGGAAGCCGGAAGGTCAGTCCTCACATCTATTTTTGTTGGGATTTTGGCCAACTCAGATTCATAACTGAGATTTCTGTTGTTTTGTACTAAATGTTCTGCTCTTGCAAATCTTCCGTATTTAACTTAAAGACAGACTTTACGCTGCATCACATTTTTGTGTTGGGTCTCTCAGCAAGACGCTGAGGTCGTTGTTCTAGAGAATACTGAATGGGATATATTTTTATAGGTGCTCTTATCCCTACAAAGTTGGAGGTTCTGCCTTTTCAGTCCTGATATTTAAACATTAGCTTCCTGTAAACTATTAGTAATCAAACATTCCCTTAGCTTTTAACGTCAGAAGCCAGCAGACTTTCTGTCCCTCTTCACAACCTGGAAAAGCATGTACTTCTGACCTTTGATTTGGTTTTCCCAGCAAGGAGGAGGAAGCTCTTTGAACAGTTGTCAGTGGCCTCTCAGGCAGCCGCACCCCTGGACAGTGTCTGCGTCTCACCTAGCCTCTCATTGGTGCGAGACATGGGACCAGTTCTGCTCTCTACCTGCCTCCCAGGCTCTCCCATCCCTCCTGGAGTGGCTCGAAGGCCCAGCTTTCCCCAGCACGCTCTAATGACCCCCGACTGGCTCACGGCCTGGCCCGACCCTTACATGCAGCTTCATGCATGTCGGCCCCTTCCCCTGGCGATGCCCTGCTGCCTCCCTTCCCATCCTCAATCTGTACCAGGTCGGTCTTCTTGTCCCCAGGCCGCCTGCAGAGTGACAGGGCTCCCCCAACCTTTGCCAGTGCCCCCTCCAACAGAGTTCCTGGAGCCCCTCCCTCACCAGTTTACTCTTTTTTAGATTTCCAATAAACACTGACTAAAAAATTAAACCTACAGAACTTATGCCCTAAATCATAGTCTTCCTCATCACCTCTCAGTGGTAAACAAGGGCAAAGACAGTTCTCTGAGTAACTAAGCAGTAATTACGGACATGGTGTTAAACTGGGCATGTCACAAAGCCAAAATCCAAAGTTTACAATGGAGGGAATGCCGGGTGAGATATAACCATGCGATAGCAACAGATGAATGACATGCATGTAAATCAAATGCTGTAGGAGGCTGAGGCAGGAGAATTGCCAGCTTAGTGACTTGGCAGGACTCTGGGGTTCCATGGCATAGCCAAGACTGCTGCTTACTTATATTTATAGTAACCAGGGATGGATTGCCTGATGGTGACCAGTACCTACTGCATGTCTGGCCCCAGCTCTGCACTTCGTTTCCCTCTTTGGTATGAGTAAGTGTGGTTATGAAGTTTACCTGTGGCTGAAAGAAAGAGGGCACAGGGCAGCTGACACCCCTGCAGCCAGCAGGTACCAGGTCGTTTCCTGGAACACGGAATGTCTTCAGAAATATTCCCATTTGGTGAGGCTCACGGCTCCCTCGGACTACGCAAGTCCAAAGCTGAATGACCCTGTGTTTCCCTCTCATTCTGCCTTCCGGCTTACGTAGCTGGAAGCCCAGGGCACCCTGGCCTGCTTTGTCCCTCCGGCTCCCCATTCATCTCAGAGCCCCTTCATGTCAGGTCAGGTTGTGCCCTGTCCTCTGTCACCCAACCTCCTCTCTGCAGACGGCAGCATGAGCAGCCTGAGGCCGCACTGGCCTCGCTGTGCCCACAGCAGATGCGCTCTGCCCATCCCCTGCATGGCAGCTGGGGGCATCTTTTCAGAAGTCTTTCCTGTCCCATTCTGATGATAAAATCGCTCAGCAGCTTCTCGTTATATTGCAGATAAAGCCAGAATTCCTGCCAATGTGACTCGGTGTTCCCTCCCCACCCCCTGCCAAGCGTCCAGTTAGGTCTGCTGTGGCCACAACCTCCCAGCCAGTGCTGTCCACCTCGGTGGCCCTTCTGGCAGCCTCTCTGCCTCCCTGAGTGCACCCAGTTTCCTTGGGCACGATCTTTATACAGTAGTGCAGAGCTCTCTAGAGGAGGGATTACCAAGCATATTACTTCTTTTTTATAAAGAAATTGTTATAAAATTTCCTTATATGATAACTGTGCTCAGCTTTAGTGTAGTTCCTGGGTGTAATCACACCACGTGTACGGACTGAGCCATGAGACACGCTGGTGCCCATTCAGGAAACGCACTCACATTTTGCCTTTCTGGTAACAGGAACATGGTACGATGCACTGTGCACTTCTGGTTCCTTTTGAATCTCCTACACAAAAGCAGCTGATATTTCAAACTTGACAGGGTGGCTTTTGTTGGAAATTTGCCCTTTAAAGTTAGGAAGGCAGTCCCCCATCTCTCTGCTCCCTGGAAGCCAGCATAATAGAACAAGTATACTCAAGACAACCTTGAACTAAATGCTGCTGTAAACCACGGTGGAAAAACTGCCGCCAAGTATTCCCAGTAGAAATCTTGGAATTCCTTCAAGTATATTGAGATTTTGTTAGAAATTGAATTGCCAGTGCAATCCATCTTCCTTGTGAGAAAACATTCAGATAAAGAGCTGGGCCTAGCAGCAGTACCCATTAGAACATCCCTGAAATCAATAAGCTACAAATCTGGCCGTCGCTCCTGCGGGCCGCACTGCTGCAGCAGCCAGGCAAGCACAATCCTTGCTCATGCGTCCGCTGCTTGCTGGGTTCAGTGGAACACACGAATAGATCATTGGTGTACAGGAGAGAATGAGTTGTCCCTTTGTTTTTCAGATTTTCCAAATGTGGTCATTGAAGGAGTGCTCCACGGGGTGTTTTACCCTCACCTGCAGCCCAGGTAGAAACCCGGCATGGCTCAGAGAAGCTGAAAGAAGTGTCCACGCCATTGTCAAGGAAATCGATACCCACCAAATTAACCGAAACCCAACGACACAGCAGCCCTCGCCAGTGATCAGATTCATGGTCCCAGCTCCATTCAGAGCAGGGACATTTGCGTTAGCGTGGTGCTTCTAAAAATAGAGGCTGAGCTGGAGTGTGAGAGGAAAGGCCGATTGTGTGAGGGGAACAGAGCTGTCGACTTAGAACCCAAGGGGAGGAGCCCGCTGGGTTCCTGAGAGCCCTGTGCAGAACCCAGCAGTTACTCTCTGTGTGAGGCAGTGTTTGCTAACTGAAAATCAGATGCCACATTATTCTGAGACTGAGCTGCTCCACACACCGATCTTTTTGCCATGTGATTTTCTCAGCCTGGAAGGGTACATTTTACAGAACTGTCAGCCTGAAATGTGTCTCAGAAACACCTCACTAAGAGCAAGTAAGAAACCAAACTGGACATTAAATCATGCTGACATCATTATGGCATTTAAAAATTGTGACTTAATTTGCATCACAGTGGAGTTGTGTCACACCTCAGGGTAGCAAGTGATGTTGGTGGGAGAGATGACATGGGGACGAGGGAATGCTGCCTTCACGAGGTCCACAGCGCCACGTCGAGATTCTCCTCTGATGTCGGAAGCTGTGCGGGTTTCTTTGGAGACCACTGACATTGCTGGTGGCTTTTAGGGGCCATTTTGTGTAAAAAAAACATATCCTTCTAAACACTGGAATCATGGTTAGTCTGTGAGATGCTGGCCTGGTGGGAGTGACACAGCGGGCGCAGGTCAGGGCTCGGGGTTCACTGGCGCGGCTGCTGCAGGGTCTCATGCTGCTATCCTCTGCGGGTTCCTTCCCACTGACCTCGTGTTTGATTGAACGTGACCCACGGAACACCGCAGCCACTGTCATTTTGACAGGGTGTGTGTGCTGTGTGTGGACATTTCATTGAATACCAACTAATAGCTATATCCTTACGATGATTAGTTTTAACAAGTTTCTGTGTGAGAGAAAAATATTTAAAATTATAACTAATAACTAAGTCATGTTGTCTGATTAGGAGCTGAATATACAGGTTTAAGGCCTGCTGCAAACTTTTAAAGATTATGTTTTGTGATAAATTATCTTATTACATGTTAGAAATAAGCAAGAACTAAGTAATGAGATGTTCTCAACCAAAAAGAACTGAATATTTAAGTAATAGAGATAATTTTGAAATGTTTTTCTGTTGCTGTTTTAAGTTAAATAAAAACAAGCCACAAGAAATACTGGACTGTGTCTCCTAGAAATTTAATGGAAACAAAGATTGTGTCTCTTCGCATCTGCACACAAGCATAAGACTTATCCAGTCTTCACTTAGATTTTTATTTCAGACCTAATAGGGTGTTACATTAACTCATCAGCTTTTTAATCCAGCTATTATTGAGCCAACAGATACTTATTAAATACTCAGTGATGTACCAGGATAACAAGAATTTAAAAATAAATAATAAGCACCATAGTGGAACACTGCTCAGGAAATCTTTTTTGAGAACTAAAATTTTTCCTTAGCGGTGACTTTCATTACTTAAGTTTTCAGTGTGTCATTTCATCAGTTGGGATCCTTGCAGGAGCTAGAAACTACTGCAGGTCTTTTAAGCAGAAAGAGCTGTGTATTGAAAACTGAGTGCTTACAGGGCCCTTGGGAAAGAGGGGAGTGACCGCCTTCCCAGAAAGCCCTCTCAGCTCTACGGGATCTCCAGGGAGCTGCAGCCCGGGCCTCCAGCAGGGATGAGGTCTATCCTGAGCTGCTGGTGCAGCATTGAGATGAAAACCAGCAGTGTGGAGACCGTGACTGGTAAGAACTGGACTGCTGTGACTGCCTGGTAGGAAGCCAGCTTCTGGGCACCAGGACAAAGTGGCAGCTGCCTGTCAGCACACGTGGTCCTGCTGTCCAGCAGCTGCCACACGAAGCTGGTGTCCACTCGCCTCCATCTCTCATCAAAGTACAATCGAAAAATGTGGCAAATGTTTAAATTTTTAAAAATTTGTTACAGTAAAAACACATTGCCAGGTGTGTTCCAGCTAAGGGAGAGTAATCTGAGGGAGATGAGTGGCAGTGTATCTTTCACCCAGTTTTGGGATGTGAACATTCACTATATCTTTTGATCACTTTTACACTGGTGCTAAACCTTGGACCTAGTCTCTGCTGCCCGGAGTCTGGGGAGGAGCTGGTGGCCTTCTGGTCACCACAGCTCAGGATGGAACACTGCAAAAATGATGGAATATAGTGCCATCAAAGGATACATAAAGATTCTTCTGCTTCTCATAGGTCCAAATCCTGTGCCATAGGCCATCGCTGCACTTAGGTTATGTGTGTAGCACTCTGGAGTATGTTTCATCCATATGCAAACAGATATTATGCATTTAACATGCATATATTCCATTTGTTCCTCTTTTACAAACATGGCAGCATATGATACTCACTGCTTTTAAACCTATTTCCATGTAATAATGTGTTCTGCAGCCTTCCCATACTGGTACCCTAAGTGCTTCCCTCAGCCCAGTTACACACCTCTGCTACAATGAATGTGACTCGTCCCTTACTAACAGGTATTTGTTTCTCTTAAAATGCCATAAACAGTAACTTAGTATGTGTCAATTGCTGTATAAATCACATACTAATCATTTTCATTAAAATTATAACTTACAAGTCTCTGGCTGACAATATGTCAGTGCACATTTCTGGTATTTCTTAATGCTTGGCTGCGGGTTTCTCTGGGGATAGCTGCCTATGTGGCTGTGTGGTAGGTGCCCACACAAGTCCAGCGGGTGTCATTCCCATGGACCACGGGGTGAATGGTATCCCTGGGTGGTGCTCAAGACTCCTGCCCTTGGGGGAGTAACAAAACCAGTTGGTTCAAAGTACGGATGCGTAGACAGTAGAGAAGCAGAGGGTAGAAAGGAAGGTGAAAGAAAAGGAAAGTCCCGTTACCTGTGTCTCATCACTGTCAGCACACCTCCTGTTTATGGTTTGCGGACTTGGTGTTTTCCTGGACCGCCTTCCCGGCACTGCTCCATGCCAAGCTGCTCCCACGCCTCATCTCTCAGTCCCTCGCTCCCGGCTGCCTGGTGCCCTTCCTCCCAATGGCCTTCAAACCCTCCTCCCATTTCCTGGAGTTGGCCGTGTGCACATGGCAAATAACACCGTGGCTGCTGCCACCTGGTACACCCCACTGTTAGAAACTCACTGTGGCCAAGGTAGAAACCTCAATCATATTCACATCTCAGAAATAACAAATGGCTCTCACCTTGCTTCTTAACTTTGATCACTGGACAGTTGTTGCCTAAAGTACTACGGTAAAAAAAGATTACAGCATACTCCGAAGACAGTTACTATGAAAAAAAAGCAGAAAATAGCAAATGTCAGTAAGGATATGGAGAAATTAGAGCTTTGTATATTGCTGGGGAAATATAAATAGATGTAGCCTCTGTGGAAAATGGCATGATAATTCCTCAAAAAGCTAAAAATAGCATATGACCCAGTAATTCCACTGCTGGATGCACACCCAGAAGTGAAGGCAGGAGCTCAGACAGGTGTTTGTACATCTGGGGTGTAGCAGCCTTATCCACAGAAGCTGAAAGGTAGAAACCACTCAAGTTCCAGCCAGTGGAAGGACAGATGGAAGGAAATAACATGGATGAGCCTAGAAGACCCGATAAGTAGGATAAGGCAGTCACAGGCGGCCAGATGCTGTGTGACCATTTATGTGGTTACCTAGAGTGCTGAAATTTCCAGAAGGAGAGGAGGCTGGGTGGGGGTGGGGGGGTCCGTATTGATGGATTTTGTGGGAAGAAGATGATAGAGGTCTGGAGCTGGAGAGCAGTGATGCTGTGCAGCAGTATGAATGTACCTAGCGCTGTGGTGCTGTGTGCTGGAGTGTTTTAAATGATACATGTCAGTCATGTATGTTTTACCTCAATGAAAATGACTTCCACAAGGGTTTTGACTGAGCGCAGGCAGAGTGGGCAGTGCTTTCTTTCAGCCATGACTGTAGAAGGATTGTGGCACACATCCTAGTCGCTAATCTCGGAGCCCTGGTCACTTAGAAGACTGTAGAACAATAGTTCTGAGTCCGAGCTGTGCATCAGAATCAGGTTCTCTGTCAGGCTGGGCCAGGCTTGTCATGCGTAGTTAGAAACAAACGCTGCTGGGCTGATTCTGATACTCAGCTGGGTTCAAAACCTGATGACCCGATGGAGGCAGTTTTTTCCTCACTCCTTTTCTTTCCTTCCTCCCTTTCTTCGTTCCCCCTCACCTGTCTCTCTCTGAGATGGTGTCTTGCTGTGTTGCTCCACCTCCTGGGCTCAAATGATCTTCCTTCAGCCTCCCAAGACCTGAACTACAGGCATGCTCAGTGCCTCACCTATTGGCTTTGTAACTGTGTCAGAATCCACTACCAAAAGAAAACCTGTTTGGTTCTGGAATGTTGCACAGGGCTACAGGAAGGAACTCAAAACACAGTCTCACTTAGCAGGCTGCACACAAGGGCTCACATTCAGTGCCTGCGTTCAAGTTCCTCCCTCTGGCTAAGGTGCTGTGGTAGAGGTCTAGAGCAGAGACATGATCCTTTTTTCTGGAATTTTCAGCTCCTTGCTTAGGGAGTGTCTTTGTTTTACTGAATTGGATAAAAGCTCAATCTGTCTGCTGCCCTTGGAAGTCACCATTTTAGCTTTATATTTTTGATTTGTCCTTGATGATAATTATAGATTCTTAGGTCAGTAATGGGAACCCAGGAAAGTAGCAGCCACCAACTTCCAGGGAAAGTGCCTGCATCCTTTGTTCTGTCCCTGCAGTGCGTAGTCCAGGCTGCATCCTGACAGAGGGAAGTGCATTTCTATTTGCCTGAAGGGAAGCTGATATGCAATAAACCATTGCAGTGTCATTTACTAGAGACAAAGTGCTGTTTTACATCCTAAGAGTATGATTGTAACATGATCTCAATCAGGAGCTGTTCTTGCCTTCAAGCCTAATCGTGGTTCCAGTTACACTGAAGGTGTGCCTGGATAAGAGAGCCATCATTGACCTACTCCTGCACACAGGGCTTCTCCTGGCTGTCTCGGGTTGTTGGGCTCGGGTTTTACATGCTTTACCCCATTATCTTGTCTATGAGTTGATGTGTAGCACCCCACTGCATTAGAGAAGGAACCAAAGATCATAGAGATCCATGGTGACAAAAAGTGGCTCACAGGATTGAGCACCAAGGGACAAGAAGCCCCGGCCAGCCCCTGTCACAGAGCGGATCACTGACCCCAACAACATCTTTGATGATGTCATGTTGCGATGGCACTTGATAGTGAGCAAAACAAAGCTGGAGAGGCAAAGTAGCTTGACCAAGGCCACCAGTTAATAAAGGGATCAGGACTTCGGCTTTGCATCTGCAAATCTCAAGCTGATCTACTTGCCAGTGAGCCTCGCATTAGAACTGTCTGGATTGATGTGCAGGGGTTATTTTATTTTTGGTGGTTATTGTTTGGTTTTAGTGTTTTTTGCTTTGTTTTGTTGAGACAGGGTCTCACCATACGTGGTTGACGTTGACCTTGACCTCACTATGTGGCCCCAGCTGGCCTGGAACATGCAGTGATCCTCATCTGGGTGCAAGGATCACAGGCTTGTACCACTGTGACCAGCTTACGTGTACTTTTATAACAGGATGTGAAAAATCAGGAGCTAGTACCGCCTTGGTTGTTTGCATTTATGCACTAGCTGATAGAATCCAAACATCTCCTCCCTTGATAAAACCAGGCTCTGTGCTAGCAGCAGCCCCTCCCTGGTCTCTCTGTACCCATTGTTTGTTTGTTTTTACTACAGTCCATTCTTGACCCCAGAGCCAGAGTGATCTGTAAAATGCCCCTCAGGTCCTGTCCCTTGTGCAGAGTCCAGTAGTTTCCATTCCCACTGTAGGTAACACGTGAACCCCTCCACCCCCTCCAGTTCTCTGGTGCATTTTCCACTGGTGATCATCTCTGACGACAGTAGCCTTTCAGTTCCCTGAATGCCAGCCGTGGTCTCTGAGATGTCTCCATGTCTCCACCTGATTACAATGTCTTCTGGTGTCAAGATGCCCTGGGCCCCGGGTTTTGAAGCACAGTTCCTGGGCCAGCCCCATCAGCATCACAAGCTCCTGCTGCCCTGCCTCCCCCAGGCTTGCACAGGTGGATGCTCAGACTGGGGCTGGGGTCTGCTGAGCCCATCCAGATTCACAAGTGCTGTCACATTTGGGATCCA